ACTTCCATTCCCACTCGGGCACATTTCCCGCCAAGATTTAAAATGGCGGACTTACTCACTATTCTTGGCTTTTGAGTTACAAGATGATATCCATTTACTCGGTGATATGTTGGAGGAAAGTGATGAGGAGATTGTTTTAAGTGCCGCATGCTGCTTCATGCGCAGAAATTTAACTCGCATTCAAGATTATTTTGAGCAAACTCTGCCAAGATATTTACCCGACGAATTCAAGCATCATTTCCGCATGACGAGAGAAACTTGCGAACTTCTCTCGCGATAAATAATGCAAACCGGACAAATACCGACGACAAATTCGTCTGGCGACCAGTCATTGCTCCACAAAAGCAAATCCTAGCGTTTCTGTGGAGGATAGCCTATCAAGAACCGGCTCGGGCTGTGGCAGATCGTTTCGACCTCACATCCAGTAATGTCGACATGGGTTTTCCGCAGAGTCGTGCAGGCAACTGTTTCCCTTTGTGGGCAATACATCAAATAACCAACTGTTGAGTCATGGCAAGCAAATAAGAGAACCTGTTTCATTATTTTATTTAGAATCAGGGTCAAAATAACATGACTGATGTATCATTTTAAATGCAAAAATCTACAGGAAATCAGATGCAAGATATAAAGTCACCTTTTGAGGAAGAAGGGGGATTCCCTGGCGTTATTGGGGTAGTCGATGGCACCGATGTCGGCCCCCTGAACACGAACCAGAGGCCTACATCAACAGAAAGTAGTTCCACTCAATAAATGTTCAGGTATTAAAAAAAAGACAAACAACAAAACAGACAACATACTGTACAACTTGACAGTGTTGTGTCAAATGATCACTGCACATTATTTCCAGTTCTTCTTTAGAAATGTTTCTTATAGCAGTGACCTACTGATATTAGAAACATTAACTTGTAATATCGCCAATTTGACGCAATTGTGAAGCTGAAAAAGCGAATGTTATGAAGAGAAACATCCAATTTTTCCTCAGCTGGTATGTGATGACAACATGGTGTTCATCCATGTCCTTGCTGGTCGGCCTGGGTCAGTGCACGACTCAAGGGTTATGTGCAATTCTGAGTTGTGGCGAACAGCCGCACATAAATTTCCTGGTGATACTCATTTATTGGGGGATGGAGGGTATCCATTGTTAAGGTAATCATGAATCAGATATCTGGTATCTAGCTGAACTGTTGTACTAGAGTCCTAGTAAAACACTTGTAAACTGAAATACAAGAAACCCTAATTTTCAGCTAATACCCTAGTTACTTTCTTCAATTGATTCAGAGTGTACTTTTTTAATATAACAGTTCCAGAAGAAATGGACTGCTTTTTGCATTTGTTGTTCTGATTGTGATCCACATGTATCTACAGCATGCACAATTCATAGACTAGAGATTACATAGAGCTAATATGTTTGATGTTATCCTCCTTCAGGTGGCTCATAACACCCTTGAGAGACAATGGCCATTAAACTGTCCATCATAGAAGGTTTAACAGAGTCCTCTCTTCAGTTCACCAGGAAATTGAGAGGGCAATATCCCTTCTCAAAGGGCGATGGAGAAGGCTTCTATTTCTGGATCATCTTGATCTTGAACTGGAAGTTAACATTATAATTGCTGCATGTGTTTTGCACAATTTCTGTTTACTTAATGATAATTTTGATGATGGTTACTTCCTTGATGGGGACGATGAGGATCATGATGCTGAGCAGCAATACCCAGATGCTAGAGCGAAACAGAAAAGAGCCCATCTAATGAATATTGTCTGCGATTTGGCCCCTTAAATGTACATATTTGCCAAGCTCAAATGTAGATGACAAAAAACAATTTTCTCATCAACATAACTTTACTATATCTGATTTGATCATTTTCTGTTACTGTCAAAATGTTTAACTTTTCTCATTTCCAAAAAGTTTTGCATCTACTGAGAAAATATGGAAAAACACTATTGTACAATTTGATAGTTCAAAATATTGAACATTACGTATTTTGGTAAATAAATATCAGTAAATATCTGTTTACGTTTTACACAACAAGCCCAACACCAAAAAGGTAAAGGAGCAGGACATACAATAACATGGACCAAAAGGGTCTTATTAATGTTAAATATCAATAGGAATATTTTTAACAGAGTTTCCTTTTAATACGATTTACCTTTTTTCAGGACATCCAGAAATTGACAGAAAACTAATCTTTTTTGTTTGTTGCATTCCCCTTAACAATTTGATTTTCTCTTCCTCTGCCTTCTCCTTCCTCTCTGTGTGAGACTGGAGAAAACTTAACATTTCAGCAACAATTTGATTTTCTTTTCCTCAGCCTTCTCCTTCCTCTCTGTGTGAGACTGGAGAAAACCTAACATTTCAGCAACAATTTGATTTTCTTTTCCTCTGCCTTCTCCTTCCTCTCTGTGTGAGACTGGAGAAAACCTAATATTTCAGCAGCAAAGGAATAGCTTTTTCGCTTCCGACGCTTATTCTTAAGAGTCTTTGAACGCTTTCCTCTGCAATCACCATCATTATCATCATCACAATCATCATAACCTGAATTCACCTCACTGCTTTTCCCACCGTCGTCATTGCAGCTGGTACTTGACGGGTAAGAATTAATTTCAGAATCAAATGTGTAAGCTGGGTTGACTCTTTGGATATCACCTATGCACTCTGCTATTTGCTGGTGAAATTTCCACGATTGGTTAGCTCTCCCAGTGCGTTTGTTGTTGTCCTTTACTTCTTTATATTTGGCTTCTAAATTAAGCCATTTACACGTACATTGCTCTCCGGATACCACAACATCTGCATTTAAATGCGCTTGTAATCTTTTCGAATACCTCTTTTTTTTGTTGGTCTTGGGTTTTCCGAAAAGGTGCTTATATTCACCATAATTTTTGATGAACAAAAGAACGAAGTGGTCTTTCCACTTCTGCAGTGTGGCCTTAGCACTCTCTTCAGCAAATAACGTTGAGGCTTGCTGTAGTAGGTCTTCTACAGTACCCATTGAAAGGCAGGTTTCGTTTCATACTCATACAAATGGCGGGAGTTAATTTGTTTAAATTGTCATTCACGAAGTGTGTGCATTAAAATGGTAAAATCATTAAGCTCTGTCTTCGACTTACCCAAGGAAGGAGCGAAATTTCCTGAATTGTCGACGCAAACATGTCGAAAAAATGCCATATCGTCTGACGTGAAGAAAAAAAGGGGAACATTGAAGGTTTAGCAACGCCGCCATCTTTACCTTTGGTCGAGGCGACAGACACGGCTAGCGCTGGAGAAACTGGGGACGAGTCATGCTGAGAGGAAATGTCAAATGAACGGAAAATTTCCGGAAAAAAGGACAACCTCGAGAGGTTGACCGAAATTTTCCGTTCCTTTCGATCTTAAACCGGAAATTTTCTGCGCTATTCGATCTTAAACTGGAATTTTCGAAAATTTTGGTCGAATGGAACGCGCCCGAAAACCCGAAAGGACCTGATTAAATATTCAAAACACTGATCGGTCATTCTGGGCCCGTGTTTTCGATGAGTTTTAACAACGACTACTCATCTCTTGTTTCCTCTTCTGCCGAAAGAACAGGTACGTTAAGTTTTTTTCCTCCGTGAATGGCTAATGCACTATGGTGAACTTCTTTTGATTTAGATCGCCTCGAGTCCCAGAAAATGTCTTCACAGAACAAATTATATTGACATAATAATCAAGGATTAGTGTTAACCCTTTACCTCCCATGAGTGACCAAGAGAGAATTTCTCCTTACAATATCA